TCTTACGTCGACGACTCGAAGCTACTTTTGTCATTTTCCGTCAATGAAGTGAACTCAGCGGCTGCTAAGCTTAACGAAGATCTACGGAGAGTCGTTTCTTGGTGTTCTCTAAATAGTCTGCTTATTAATCCCAATAAGACGAAATTACTTGTGTTCGCAACTCGTTATATGTTGAAACAGATACCGGCAGATTTCCATATTTTACTATTGGGGAAAAAACTGTTTCCTGTGACCTCAGCCAGTGATCTAGGCGTGACACTGGATAGTGGTTTGACGTACGATGAACACGTCACAAAACTGGTTTCTTCTTGTGTCGGTAGCCTGTGTCAAATTAATAGAGCAAGGCACCTTTTTGATATGAAGACGTTAATTCTTTTAATAAACGCGTTGGTTTTTAGTAAACTCTATTACTGTTCAACCATATGGTCTAATTCATCGAAGAAAAACATTGCAAAATTGCAAAAAGTTCAGAATTTCGCAGCACGTATTGTCACGGGCACAAAAAAATTCGACCATATCACTCCATCTTTAAAACAGCTTAACTGGTTGCCAGTCAATTATATGTTGCGATTCCGAGATACAGTAATGGCTTATAAATGTGTTAATGGTATGGCCCCATCATATTTATGTCGTATGTTCCAAACAAGATCACAATTACACAATTTGAACACAAGATCTAGCGAATTATTGGAAATACCTTTATATAGAACAGCGACCGGACCACGTTCTTTTCGCTACCGAGCTTCTTGTTTATGGAACAGTTTGCCAGAATGGCTAAAAGACCATAATCTTAATTTGGAACGTTTTAAAAGCGTGCTACGAAGTTATTTGGTTCAACAATTTCTCGATGAACAGAACTGAATTACATCTTTTACTGACTAAATTTTAAATTAAATAGTATTGATAAGTATTTTACCTTAAATATAACTAGCTTGATATTATATATTTTGGTGTTAATAGTATATTATATAGTTTTTAGAATATAATTTAATTAAGTAATTACTTTTTATAACTTCTGTATTGAACACTGAAAAACCCTTCTGGGAGTGTTTAACATTAATAATAATAATAATAATAATAATAATATTATCCGCATTTTGCAACATTTCGCAACGAAACTTCGGAATATTATTAATTCTGAAATGCTCTTTCAAGCTGTGATGAAATTTTTGTCCAGGCTAATCTAGATCAAAATTTCGCTTAAAAGGGGAAAGGTCTATTAAGATCTAAGCCTGACCCCGAGCTAAGCGGAAAAGTCGAATACGAGTGCGAAAGCTTAACACACCAAGGCCCTGTTTACACAATACCGGATTCGCTAGTCACGACATCTTCTTTTGCCGTTATACGGAGCAATGGTTATAGTAGCAAATGCTTATTAGTTTAACAGAATTGGCATGTTTATTTGGGTCTCTGAGATTAAAAATCTTCACAGTCTTTCAATAGCTACAAAATTTGACCCACTCCGATAGCATAGCATTTTAGATAAGGTCTAAAATGCGGTACCCTACAAATGAAACTTCCGGCGTTTTATATGGCCTAAAAGTCCAAACTAAAATATTTTGGGGCTCAAAATATTATCAAAATGAACAGAGAAGTGAGACGAATCCACTGGTATACGGCTGAAAAAAACAACCAACGACACCAAAGTTATCAAGGATCAAACATATTGAATTTTTTATAATTTGAGCTTTGAACGATTTGCTGTCAACAAATAATACAATTTCGCTTGGCTTTGAAAGACAAAGGTCATAAATCGCTAGAATACTGTTGTCAGTTGTTTAGTAATACATTTGACACCCATAGCTGTAGGTACAATTTCTCATTCGTATATAAGTACAATTTCTTACGCTGAATCGAACGGTGGTATTTTTATGCTTATTAATATTACTAATATTAGGCATTACGAATACAAGGTCGGACAAACGGCGAGTAATTCGTCAACGTACAATACAATTTCGCTTGATTTTCAAAGTCCATAAATCGTTAGAATACTGTTGTTTAGTAATTCATTTGGCATCCGTAAGTACAACTACGTTGTGCAGTTTATGTACGTTATACTTTTACCTTGAAATTGTCTTTGGCTCGTTTATATTCTGATTCAGTATACTATGATCGTGCACGGGAATTCTACGATCCAAATTTCGGATTTTCAGAGCCGTGCACCAAGAAAACGCATTAAATAAACTAGCAAGAATGTCCAGAGTTAGACACAATCCAAAATCCATAGAAAACAGGTACAATTGGTTCAAAATTTTCACGAAATTGTTTAAAACATTTTGCCCACTCCACGAAAGTCCCCGCCATTTTGAAAAGAATCAAGCAGCTCATTAATATTCTATTTTGTGACTATCGACGAAGAATGGAGATCCACTATTGCCGATCCGTGAAAAATGCAACCCGAAACCTATACTCGTCTGGGGAACAGTGCCCCCAGCGAGTAATAAATTGATATATATATGCTGTCAGTGTCTGCTATATAGACAGCCAAGGACGGGTGAAATTAAACATAGGAAAAGCGGTCATTAATACCAGAAGGGTGAACAGTGCCAAGTTTGGATATGAGCCGCATTTCATATCGTTTGCGGTTTTCGTTGCTTCCAGAAATGGGATAGAGAGCTCGAATTAGCATATCTGTAACACTGTGATTGCCATTATTAAAATGTCTGGCAACAGGTTGGTTAGCATCATTGCCAATAACTGCACGCCGATGCTCACCAAACCTTGTTCTTAAACATCTTCCAGTTTCAATTCCCCAATGTAAAGCATGACTCATCTGATGCAAGAGATGCAGTAGATGAGATGGGAGGAGGCGCACTTGAAGTGTTGCTTGATGTGATATTCAGATTTAGGTGCCGAAACAATAGTGGTAGAATCTACAAAATCACAGGTTTTACATTTCGATGACCGGCAAGGAAAAGTGCCTTTCTGTGACGTCGAAGCCTGTGCTAGGGAGCTATGGACTAGGGTTTCACAGATATTTTTGCTCAAGGGCGGCGAGGGGGGGGGGGACAAACACACAAAACGTCATTTTGTCCCGGGGCCCGTAATTGGGTCTCGCCGGCCTTGTTTTTGCTGTGTCGAAAAGAGACTAAGGGGTTATCAGAGAAAATGGAAGATATTTTAGGGTCGTTTTTCAAAATATGGAAATTCTTGTCGATGGCATTTTGTTATTGTCTGTGACATTAGACACAGGGTCTGTGAGGGTGTCAGAAAGGGGAATTTGAGCGGCCTTCCAAAAGGCAGTGGCTAATAGAGAGGTAGGATAACCACGTTGGACAAAAAAGTGTCTCATCTCCAGACTTTTGACCTGAAAGTCTTCGTCTTCGCTGCAGATACGGCGAAGACGAAGGAACTGAGAGAAAGGAATCGACCTTTTGGTGTGGTTGAGGTGGGAGAGGAAAATAGAAGATAGCTATGGGAATCAGTGGGCTTGTAGAACAACAGAAGTAACTAGTTTGTTACCATTGATTGATACAATGATATCTAAGAATGATACACTGGTCTCACTGATCTCCCAAGTGAACTGGAGTGCTGGATGGAAATTATTAACAAAGTTAATAAAGCGTTCCAATTCGACATGAGAAAATGATGGTGTGCCAAGACAGTCATCTAAGCAACTATCAAGGTTTTCAGGGATGGCATCAGTGTACTGTTCGAAGATTTGTTTTTCCACAAAACCAACAAACAAATTACCATAGTTGGGTCCCATTTTGGTTCCCATGGCTACACTACTTATCTGTTGCTAATGCTCACCATCAAGGTGTAATATTCTATAACTGTATTGATCTATAAACAGTGTTACAACGTTGCTTCCCAGACTAAGTGCTAAGTATCTCTATATAGTGTCCGTGTTCTATATCTCTAATATCTAAATGTCTATATTCCTTATATGGTGTTGTACAGTGTCATTTTACTAAATGTCTAATTACTTCATCACTTCCCCTTTTGAAGTTCAAGCATGCAAAGTCCAGGTGATGGCATGTCCATAACGTTCTGGCATTTTTCTTTCACGACTCGATCTGCGAACTTCTTCGTTGTTGGTTCTTTCTTGTGTCTGGTTTTTGTCAAGGTCTTTGTTGTTGTCAAGGTCTTTGTTGTTGTTGTTGTTGTTGTTGTTGTTGTTGTTGTTGTTGTTGTTGTCGTTGTCGTTGTTGTCGTTGTTGTCGTTGTTGTCGTTGTCGTTGTCGTTGTTGTCGTTGTTGTCGTTGTTGTCGTTGTTGTCGTTGTTGTCGTTGTTGTCGTTGTTGTCGTTGTTGTCGTTGTTGTCGTTGTTGTCGTTGTTGTCGTTGTTGTCGTTGTTGTCGTTGTTGTCGTTGTTGTCGTTGTTGTCGTTGTTGTTGTTGTTGTTGTTGTTGTTGTTGTTGTTGTTGTTTTCGTCATCCATGTCAGTTTCAACGTTCTGTTGGTTTGGTATGCGTTTGAAATGTGATACATTTCTAGTAATGGTATGTCCGTTGCTGTCGCGTACTGTAATTCTGGAGTTGTTTTTTATAATTAACTGTTGAAGTTTTTAATTAACTGTTTACTGTTGAAGTTTGTTGAAAGTTTGTTACTTCGTTTTTGTCGTACTAATACACTGTCACCAACCTTAATGTCCTTATGTTTTGCGTTGCGTCTGTTGTCAGCATATTGTTTGTTGTATTGTTCTTTTAAGTTTAACTCCGTCCATTTTTTCATACGTAGCTCTATCAATTACGTTTAATGATGCGCCTGTATCAAGTGTAGCATTAAAGCAATGCTTGTTAATAGTTACACGAACCGTAGGTGACTTTTTAGGTGTATGGACAGTGTATAAATAGTCCTCGGTCCTGTCAGAATCACTCTCAGCTTCGTGTATTGGATGGATAGGCTCTTTGTCCTGCCTTTGCTTGTGCTGTTGTTTCGTGTATGGGGATTTCGACGCCGTTTGTTGCTTGCCACGACAAACTTTCGCGAAATGATTCGATTTGCCGCATTTTCGACATTCTTTCCCTGTGTGGATATGTTCCCCCGCAATAATGGTATGTTTTCTCTCGAAATTGTTGTATATTGTCCGATTTTTCGTCTTTTGACTCGATATCTCGCGCTTGAAACTCGCTCTGTTCAGCACGTCGGCCATCTAACAGAATTTGCTTTAAATCATATTCAGGCTCACGTAATGCTTTCTTGCGAATGCGCGATGAGATGCCGTTGATAATTATCTAGATCTGCTGTTCGATTTCAAAGTCTGCGTCATTGAAAGAACATGTTTGTACTAGCACTCGTAGCCGCGTATGAAGCTGGTCCAGGGTTTCATTTGACTCTTGTTTGGCTTGGCGGAATCTGAACACTTCGTATCGTCGGTTTTTTGAGGCTCGAAATATTCTCTTAATTTGTCCTTAGCGGTCTTGTAGTCATTCGCGTTTCCCGTATCGGTTAGCTGGCGAAAAATCTCACGCACTCGAGAACCGGCTTGGTACAGCAACAAGGCACGTTTCTGCGTTTCGTCTTTGATTCCACTCGCTGTTAAAAACATTTCAAAATCTTCAATCCATGTAATCCAGCGGGTAGCGAGACTCGCGCCAACTTCAGAGTCTGGATTAAACTCGGGTGGCGGTGGAATGTTCACTGATTGAACATTTATATTTGTAGTCGATTCTTCTTCGACACTCATCCTCGTCGCCAATGTAATATTCTATAATTTATTGATCTATAAACAGTGTTACAACGTTGCTTCCCAGACTAAGTGCTAAGTTTCTCTATATAGTGTCCGTGTTCTATATCTCTAATATCTAAATGTCTATATTCCTTATATGGTGTTGAACAGTGTCATTTTACTAAATGTCTAATTACTACATAAGGGAAAAATTGTTGGGAGTAAGCACCATCTCAACCAATCGGACCAAAACAGAAGTGGCCGATTCCTAGTCAGGGCATTTATCTAGAAAAAATCTGAGCTGGGCCTTTAAACCAGCATGATCCGGAATTACAGTGTATAAGGATTTGATGTCCATGATGGCTATCGCCTCCCAAAAATCTTCCTGGTCTTCCCCAGAAGACCAATATGGATCCCTTGAACTATTCATTCAACAATGTTGACATGACATAGAAAAACTCCTCGAATTTAGGCCCTAAAGGCCATACAACCTCATTAACAATGAATTTAGCGCCCTTCAATCACTCCATGCTCGGAATAACATTGTTATCAAACCTGCTGATAAGGGTGGCGCCTTAGTCGTTCGGAGAGCTGATATATATACCGTAATGAAGCCCACCGACAAATGGGTGACGCCACTTTTTACAGGATGGTTGACAAGGTTTTGACTTCCATTCATCAAACCACCATCACTCAGACCACATTCATAACTTTATCACCACTGGTGATCTCCTAGCTTGAGATTGCCAAAAACCTCATACACATCACACCTCGCACATCTGTCATGTACTTCTTGCCCAAAATTCACAAACCTGACATCATAGGTAGACCTATTGTCTCTGCTTGTGCTTGTGGTTGTGGTTGTCCCACCGAACTCATCTCCAGTTTACTCGATTGTGTTAAATTGGCACCCTTGGTTAAGGAGTTACCATCCTACATCAGGAATACCAAGCATGCTCTCCAAATTCTCCGGAACATATTCATTTTCATGGCACTCACAAATTCATTTTCACCATAAACGTCAAATCCTTATACACTGTAATTCCGCATCATGATGGTTTAAAGGCCCTCGAATTCTTTCTAGATAAACGCCCTGACCAGGAATCGGCCACTTTTGTTTTGGTCCGATTGACTGAGTTGGTGCTTACTCTCAACAATTTTTCTTTTGATGGTGTGCATTACCAACAGATAAATGATCTAGCCATGGGAATCAAAATGGGACCCAACTATGCTAATTTGTTAGTTGGTTTTGTGGTAAACAAATCTTCGAACAGTACATGCACTGATGCCATCCCTGATTACCTTGGTAGGTACATAGATAACTGTCTTGGCACAGCATCATGTTCTCGTGTCGAATTGGAACGCTTTATTAACTTTGTTAATAATTTTCATCCAGCACTCCAGTTCACATGGGAGATCAGTGAGGCCAGTGTATCAGTCTTAGATATCATTGTATCAATCAATCGTAACAAACTAGTTACTTCTGTGTTCTACAAGCCCACCGATTCCCATAGCTATCTAATATTTTCCTCTCCCACCCCAACCATACCAAAAGGTCGATTCCCTTCTCTGAGTTCCTTCGTCTTCGCCGTATCTGCAGCGAAAACGAAGATTTTCAGGCCAAAAATCGGGAGATGAGACACCTTTTTGTCCAACGTGGCTATCCTACCTCTCTATTAGACACTGTCTTTTGGAAGGCCTCCAAAATTGCCCGTTCTGACACTCTCACAGACCCTTGTGTCTAATGTCACAGACAACAACAAAATCCCCCTAGTATTAAATTATCATCTTTCAATTTCAAAGTTAGAGATGTCATCAACGAGAATTTGCATATTTTGAAAAACGACCCTGAAACATCTTCCATTTTCTCCGATAACCTCTTAGTCTCTTTCTGGCAAACCGTGAAACCCTAGCCCATAGCTCCCTAGCGCGGGCTTCGACGTCACAGAAAGGCACTTTTTCTTGCCTAAAACCTGTGATTTTGCCATGTAAAACCTGTGATTTTGTAGATTCTACCACTATTGTTTCGGCACCTAAACCTGAATATCATATCAAGCAACACTTCAAGTGCGCCTCCTCCCATCTCATCTACAGCATCTCTTGCATCAGATGAGTCATGCTTTACAATGGGGAATCAAAACTGGAAGATGTTTAAGAGGCAGTCTCTGTAAGAACCTCATGACCTCTTTGGATCAACAAATAGATTTCTCTCAAACTTTGTAGTTGAGATTGCCTTTATAAGGGTTGTTTCAAAATGCATTTTGTTTTCAGTCTAATTGCATTTTGGCAAAGTTCCAGGGGGGTCAAGTTGAGGGCTAAAATTATGGTTTTTGCTGTTCTCAATAGTGGATTTTTGCTGATTTTTAAACCTCTGTACATCAAACAAAAATAATTATGAAACTAAATCTTTCCAGACAATAGTAGCTTTATATGTCTTAAGTAACAAGGTGTCTATAAATTTTTCAAATTTGTTTTCTAAATATAGAAATGACATCATTCATGATAGACTAAAATAGAAATTTC